GTATTTTATTCTCTTTGTGGCAATTGTGAATGGAAGTTTGTTCTTGATTTGGCTCTCTTTAAGTCTGTTATTGGTGTATAGGAATGCATGTGATTTTTGCACATTGATTTTGTATCCTGAGACTTTGCTGAACTTGCTTATCAGTTTCAGGAGGTTTGGGGCTGAGATGATGGGGTCTTCTAGATATACAATCATGTCGTCTGCAAATAGAGACAATTTGACTTCCTCCTTTCCTATTTGAATGCCCTTTATTTCTTTCTCTTGTCTGATTGCTCTGGCTAGAACTTCTAATACTATATTGAATAGCAGTGGTGAGAGCGGGCATCCTTGTCTGGTGCCACATTTCAAGGGGAATGCTTTCAGTTTTTGCCCATTCAGTATGATATTGGCTGTTGGTTTGTCATAAATAGCTTTTATTATTTTGAGATACGTTCCATTGATACCTAGCTTACTGAGTGTTTTTAGCATAAAGGGCTGTTGAATTTTGTCAAAGGCCTTCTCTGCATCAATTGAGATAATCATGTGGTTTTTGTCTTTGGTTCTGTTTATGTGGTGAATTACGTTTATAGACTTGCGTATGTTGAACCAGCCTTGCATCCCCGGGATGAAGCCTACTTGATCATGGTGGATAAGCTTTTTGATGTGCTGTTGCAATCGGCTTGTCAGTATTTTATTGAAGATTTTTGCATCTATGTTCATCATGGATATTGGCCTGAAGTTTTCTTTTCTTGTTGAGTCTCTGCCGGGTTTTGGAATCAGGATGATGTTGGTCTCATAAAATGATTTGGGAAGAATTCCCTCTTTTTGTATTGTTTGGAATAGTTTCAGAAGAAATGGTACCAGCTCCTCTTTGTATGTGTGGTAGAATTCAGCTGTGAACCCATCTGGACCTGGGCTTTTTTTGGGTGGTAAGCTCTTAATTGCTGCCTCAACTTCAGACCTTGTTATGGGTCTGTTCAGGGTTTCGGCTTCTTCCTGGTTTAGGCTTGGCAGGAGGCAAGTGTCCAGGAATTTATCCATTTCTTCCAGGTTTATTAGTTTGTGTGCATAGAGTTGTTTGTAATAATCTCTGATGATGGTTTGAATTTCTGTGGAATCTGTGGTGATATCCCCTTTATCGTTTTTTATTGCATCAATTTCGTTATTCTCTCTTTTCTTTTTTATTAATCTGGCTAGTGGTCTGTCTATTTTGTTGATCTTTTCAAAAAACCAGCTCCTGGATTTATTGATTTTTTGAAGGGTTTTTTGTGTCTCTATCTCCTTCAGTTCTGCTCTGATCTTAGCTATTTCTTGTCTTCTGCTAGACTTTGAGTTTTTTTGATCTTGCTCCTCTAGCTCTTTCAGTTTTGACGATAGGGTGTCAATTTTTGATCTCTCCTTGCTTCTCATGTGGGCACTTATTGCTATATATTTTCCTCTAGAGACTGCTTTAAATGTGTCCCAGAGATTCTGGTATGTTGTGTCTTCATTCTCGTTGGTTTCGAAGAACATCTTTATTTCTGCCTTCATTTCATTGTTTATCCAGTCAACATTCAAGAGCAAGTTGTTCAGTTTCCATGAAGCTGTGCGGTTCTGAGTTAGTTTTTGAATTCTGAGTTCTAACTTGATTGCACTGTGGTCTGAGAGACTGTTTGTTACGATTTCCGTTCTTTTGCATTTGCTGAGGAGTGATTTACTCCCAATTATGTGGTCAATTTTAGAGTAGGTGTGATGTGGTGCTGAGAAGAATGTATATTCTGTGGATTTGGGGTGGAGAGTTCTGTAAATGTCTATTAGGTTTGCTTGGTCCAGGTCTGAGTTCAAGTCCTGGATATCCTTGTTAATTTTCTGTCTGGTTGATCTGTCTAATGTTGACAATGGGGTGTTAAAGTCTCCCACTATTATTGTGTGGGAGTCTAAGTCCCTTTGTAAGTCATTAAGAACTTGCCTTATGTATCTGGGTGCTCCTGTATTGGGTGTGTATATATTTAGGATCGTTAGCTCTTCTTGTTGCATTGATCCTTTTACCATTATGTAATGTCCCTCTTTGTCTCTTATGATCTTTGTTGCTTTAAAGTCTAATTTATCAGAGATGAGAATTGCAACTCCTGCTTTTTTTTTGCTCTCCATTTGCTTGGTAAATCTTCCTCCATCCCTTTATTTTGAGCCTTTGTGTATCCTTGCATGTGAGATGGGTTTCCTGGATACAGCACACCGATGGGTTTTGTCTTTTTATCCAATTTGTCAGTCTGTGTCTTTTGATTGGGGCGTTTAGTCCATTTACATTTAGGGTTAATATTGTTATGTGTGAATTTGATACTGCCATTTTGGTGCTAGCTGGCTGTTTTGCCCTTTAGTTGAGCTGGTACTTGTTGTTCCTTTATATGTGTAGAGCCTCTTTCAGGAGCTCTTGTAGAGCTGGCCTGGTGGTGACGAAATCTCTGAGTACTTGCATGTTCCCAAAGGATTTTATTTTTCCTTCACTTATGAAGCTTAGTTTGGCTGGATAGGAGATTCTGGGTTGAAAGTTCTTTTCTTTAAGGATGTTGAATATTGGCCCCCATTCTCTTCTGGCTTGTAGGGTTTCTGCTGAGAGATCTGCTGTGAGTCTGATGGGCTTCCCTTTGTGGGTAACCCGACCTTTCTCTCTGGCTGCCCTTAGTATTTTCTCCTTCATTTCGACCCTGGTGAATCTGACGATTATGTGCCTTGGGGTTGCTCTTCTTGACGAATATCTTTGTGGTGTTCTCTGTATTTCCTGGACTTGAATGTTTGCCTGCCTTGCTAGGTTGGGGAAGTTTTCCTGGATAATATCCTGCAGAGCATTTTCCAGCTTGGATTCATTCTCTTCGTCGCATTCGGGTACGCCTATCAAACGTAGATTAGGTCTTTTCACATAGTCCCACATTTCTTGGAGACTTTGTTCATTCCTTTTTACCCTTTTTTCTCCAGTCTTGCCTTCCCGTTTTATTTCATTGAGTTGATCTTCGACCTCTGATATCCTTTCTTCTGCTTGGTCAATTCGGCTGTTGATACTTGTGCATGCTTCACGAAGTTCTCGTGTTGCAGTTTTCAGCTCCATCAATTCACTTATATTCCTTTCTATTTTGTCCCTTCTCATTAGCATTTTGTCAAATCTTTTTTCAAGGTTCTTAGTTTCTTTGCATTTGGTTAGAACATGTTCTTTACGTTCACAGAAGTTTCTTACTACCCATCTTCTGAATTCTGATTCTGTCATTTCATCACACTCATTCTCCATCCAACCTTGTTCCCTTGCTGGCGAGGAGTTGTGATCCCTTTTAGGAGGAGAGGTGTTCTGGTTTCGGGTGTTTTCATCCTTTTTGCGCCGGTTTCTTCCCATCCTTAAGGATTTATCCACCTGTCGACTTTGTAGTTGCTGGCTTTCAGATTGGGTCTCAAATCTTTCAGATTGACGTTCTGTTTGTTGATGATGAGGTTATTTCTGCTTCTTGGTTTTCCTTCTGACAGTCTGGCCCCTCTGCTGTAGGTCTGCTGAGGTTCACTCCAGGCCCTGCTTGCCTGGGGTTCACCTGCAGCAGCTGTTGAACAGCAAGGGTTGTTACCAGTTTTCTTCTTCTATCTTTGTCCCAGAAGGATACCCGCCTAGTGTCAATCTGATCTCTCCTCTATGAGGTGTCTTTTTGGATATATAGGGGTCAGGGAGCTGCTTGAGGAGACGGTCTTTTCTTTATAGGAGCTCAAATGGTGAGCTGTGAGCTCTGTTGTTGTTCGTTCAGAGCTGCTGGGCAGGTACTTTTAGGTCTGCTGCAGCAGAACTCATAAACTGCTTTTTGTTCCCAGGTGCTCTGTCCCAGGGATTTAGGGCTTTATTTATGAGTTTCCGTTATGCTGCTGCCTTCTTTTTTTTTTTTTTTTTTTTTTTCCTTCAGACCTGCCCAGCCCAGCAAGGAGGCAGCCTAGTCACTGTCGGCCTATAGCAGCTTTGCTGAGCTGCTGTGGGCTGCGCCCCGCTGCCGAGTGAACTTCCCTGCAGTCCTGTTTATATGGGTGTAGTTAGAACTGCTTTGGCGATGGTGGCCCGCCTCTGTTGGGGCGGAGTCTCTGCTGTGGCGTGTTGCCTTGGCAACGGCGGGCTGCCTCAGCAATGGCGGGTTGCCTTGGCAACGGCGGGCTGCCTCGGTAATGGCGGACGCCCCTCCCCCACAGAGCTGGACTGTCCCGGGTTCAGCTGCGCTTGCTGTGAAATTCTCAATCCAGAGTATCTGGTCGCTGTTCTTTTGTGGGGGTGGGGCCAGCCGAGCCTGATCGCCTGGCTCCCTGCCTCAGAGCCTTTTTTAAGTTGGTGTTCCAGTCGCCTGTTGAAGAGGCGCCGGGGTCTGTTTGTTTTCCCCTGCGGCCACTCACTGCGCTGGCTTAAACAGCGGCACTGAGGTTTGTGGCGCTTTTTTTTCTTTTTTTTTTTTTTGCCCTGGAATCTACTGTCCTGGTTCTCTGCTCAGACCCCTTTTTGAACCAGCATATGGGCGACTTCCCGTGGCTCCAATCGCCAGCCAAAAGGGCACCCGGACCGGTGTATTTTGTACGGAGAACCGCGGCTCCGGGGCGCCGACAAAGCAGCCGCGTGGGGCAGAGCAGCGGCGCTGGTCGGCGCCGGCCGGCGCTGGCCGGCACAGCAGCACTGGCCACAACAGCCGCGCTGGCGAGCGTGGAGCACCTCTGCCCGGGAATTTCCTAGTCTGTGGGCAATAAAAACGCGGCGTCCACTCACCCTCTGCGCTTTCACTGGGAGCTGCAATCCTGAGCTGTTCCTAAACGGCCATCTTGGATCTCCCCCTCCTATTTAGCTCTTCTTTAAAGGTAATTCCAGCACCATAGCTCCACCAACTTGGAGATTTTTTTTTTTCCTTTGCTCTTTGCAGTTTTACTAGGATATGTCTAGGTGTGGGTTTCTCTTCCCTCTTTTAAACTGAGATATAATTCATATACCATGCAATTTACCCATTTAAATTGTACAATTCAATGTTCTTTAGTGTACTCACAGCTGTGTAACCATCATTACAATCTAATTTTAAAACATTTCATTTCCCTCAAAAGAAATCTTCCATCCATTCTCCTCTTATTCAGTCTGTGGCTTCAGATATACCTATTCTAGATATTTCCTATAAATGGAATTATAAAACAGATGGTCTTTTTACTTAGCATGCTGTTTTTAAGGTTTAAGCATGTTATAATCATGTTTCATTCATTCTTATGGCTGAATAATATTCCATTGAATGGATATGCCAAATTTTACTTATCCATTCTGTAGGTGATGGATATTTGAATTACTTCCATTTCTTAGCTATTACAAATAATACTGCTATAAACATTTGCGTGGACATATGTTTTCATTTCTCTTAGATATACACCTAAGAGTATATCTTAGGTGTATATCTTAGGCAAAATAACAATGGGATGACATTTTAAAATTAGACCATTTAGGTTATGTTGCATTTCTTAAATTGTTATTGTCTTTCATCTGTTTTGGAAAATTCTTAGCCATCATCTCTTCAAATATTGTAATATCCTCATCCTCCTTTTCTCTGGGATTCTCATTTACATGTATGTGTAATTAGACCTTTTCTGTATCCACATTATTTCTTGCCCTTCCCTCTGTCTCATTCTTGCATCTCTCCAGGCTTCTTGCTGTTTTTTTTTTTTTTTTTTGAGATGGAGTCTTGCTCTGTCACCCAGGCTGCAGTGTCTGCTATAACTAATTCCTAGAGTACCTACAGTTCTGTTTTTATTGTCTACTGTTTCAACTGGTTCTTGATTCATGTTTTGTGTCCTTGTGTGACTGATAACCTCGGAATATGTTTTGAACATTAATATTTGAAAAACTTCTTTCAGAAAGAAATTTTGTTACTTCAAAGAACCTGGGGGGCATGAGCGAACTGAGATCTTAATCTAATATCAGGGTTTGAGATTTCCTGGGCCACCCAGATGACTTGAAGGTGTGCTGCAGTCCATGCAAGGGTTCCTTTACCTCTCTCATACCTTACTGTTGGGCACAATCTTTGGTTTCAACGCAAAGTGCTGCAGAACTGTAAGGGTCTCATTTTGTATTCCTACCCATATGAGGCTATATCAAAAGGGCTATACAAGTCTTTTAGCTCCTTCCTCTGAATTGGTAAATGCTTATAGGGCAAAAGCAGCCTCAAATGTTAGTCTCATTTTTCAGATTACCTTCTTTTCTGAGTCTTGGCTTGGTAGTACTTCCTTATTTGGTAACTTCAAATGAAGAGCATTTAACATTTTTTTCAACATTTCTAGCTATTCTCAGCAAAAGGGTTTCTCCATTTTATGTGGCTCACCACTACAAGAAGAAGATTATTCAATGTAATCTTTTTCCTAAGGCCCCCTACCTGTATGATAAAGACATATCAGAGACTGGACAATTTACAAAAGAAAGAGGTTTAATTGGACTTACAGGTCCACGTGGATGAGGAAGCCTCACAGTCATGGTAGAAGGCAAGGAGGAGCAAGTCACGTCTTACATGGATAGCGGCAGGCAAAAAAGAGCTTGTGCATGAACACTCCCCCTTATAATAACCATCAGATCTTGTGAGACTCACTGTCATGAGAGCAGTGCTGGAAAGACCTGCCCCCATGATTGAATTACCTCCTGGTCGGTCCCTTCTACAACATACGGGAATTCAAGACAAGGTTTGCCTGCATCCCCACCCAAATCTTACAACTGTAACAACTCTCCCCCAATTCTTAAACTAACTCCTCATTTGTTATGCCTCAGTTTCAACATTACTTCCTCTGGGCAGCCTTCTTTAATCCCAGAGTAGGTTATGATATACCCACTAAATGTTCCTCCACTCCCTGTAATAACACTCACTATATTTATAATACTTTTTGTTCAATGTTTGTTCAATTGTAGATCCCAATAGCCCCTTGAGGGCAGTCTCACCATTTCTTAGTTCACCTCTGTATCCTCACTGCTTAAGCATAATGCCTGGGTTACAAAGGCATGAAATATCCTGGAATGTTCAGGGACTATAAGAAATCAGTATAATTTATTCAGTAAACTATTTGTTAAATGATGAGATAAAATACGTTCAACCTGTCCCAACCTTTGGTAAAAGGAAATGATGATGCTTTATCTTGTAACATCCTATTTGTAATTCAAAACTGAGATCAGATGTAACTACTTCAGAGACATAGTCTGTCATCTGTACAATTAATCACTTCCCATTAATACAACACATATGGTATTAGAAAGGCTTTCACGAAGAAGCCACACTTAGGGTAAAACTTTAAAGACGAGCAGGGATCAGGGAAAGGAAGAGTATGCAAGGCTAAAGGTGTCTTTTATATGCCTCTGCTATTAAATTCTATTACAAAACATGACATTACACTTCTCCATTTATGTTGGCCTCTCCTTCTAAATGAATGTCTTTAGAGCTAGAAACTACATTTCGATTCTTTGTTGTATTCATAGTGCCTAGCACAGAAGCCCACACATAGTGTTCAGTACATGTTGTTTGAATGAAAAATGATGTTGATAATTTTTTTTGCAATCTCTGCCATTTAAAAAGGCTTGTACATGCCTATGTCCTGAATGGTATTGTGTAGGTTTTCTTCTATGGTTTTTATGGTGTTAGGTTTTATGTTGAAAGCTTTAATCCACCTGGAGTTAATTTTTGTATAAGGTGTAAGGAAGGGATCCAGTTTCAGCTTTCTGCACATGGCTAGCCAGTTTTCCCAACATCATTTATTAAATAGGGAATCCTTTTCCCATTGCTTATTTTTGTCAGGTTTGTCAAAGATCAGATGGTTGTAGATGTGTGGCATTGTTTCTGAAGTCTCTGTTCTGTTCCATTGGTCTACATCTCTGTTTTGGTACCAGTGCCATGCTGTTTTGATTACTGTAGCCTTGTAGTATAGTTTGAAGTCAGGTAGCGTGATGCCTCCAGCTGTTTTTTTTTGCTTAGGATTGTCTTGGCTATGCAGGCTCTTTTATGGTCCATATGAAGTTTAAGGTGTTTTTTTCCCCCAATTCTGTGAAGAAAGTCAATGGGAGCTTGATGGGGATAGCATTCAATCTATAAATTACTTTGGGCAGTATGGCCATTTTCACAGTATTGATTCTTTCTAACCATGAGCGGAGTATTTTTCCATCTGTTTGTGTCCTCTTATTTCCTTGAGCAGTGGTTTGTAGTTCTGCTTCAAGAGGTCTTTCACATCTCTTGTTACCTGCATGTTCTGCACGTGTATCCCAGAGCTTAAAGCATAATAAATTTAAAAAAAGAAAAAAAAAAAAAGGTTGCAGGCCACTGCTTCTCTAGATTTGTCTCCTCCTGCTCCATCACACATCATCAGTTTTCCACTACTTGATATAAATGATTACTGTTTCCTTATACCACACTTTTCATGCTGCTTTCCAATCTTCCCTAAAAACTACCCATTCAAAGGCCCTATGTTCCAGTCCTAGTTCCTCATATGGCAGAAAATACTATCAGTGTTAAGTAAACAGTATATTTTAAGAATACGTTCGTGGCTGGGCATGGTGGCTCACATCTGGAATCCCAGCACTTTGGGAGGCCAAAGTGGATGGATCACGAGGTGAGGGGTTTGAGACCAGCCTGGCCAACATGGTGAAACCCAGCTCTACTAAAAAAAAATAGAAAAATTAGCTGGGTGTGGTGGCAGGTGCCTGTAATCCTAGCTACTCGGGAGGCTGAGACAGGAGAATCATTTGAACCTGAAAGGTGGAGGTTGTAGTGAGCCAAGATCGTGCCACCGCACTCCAGCCTGGGTGAGAGGGCCAGACTCTGTCTCAAAAACCAACACACAAACAAACAAAAATTTGTTCACCTGAACAAACCAGCAGATACAATGAATTTTCAAATCAAGGCAGGACAAAAAAGAAATTACTTTTGTGGCTGCTGAAGTTTAAAACTGAAAACTATTAAAACTCATTTTTGTGTCTAGGTGACCAAATTCTACCAAATGCTGCTTGTCTTTATAATCCTTCAATAATATAAATTAACAGGTGGAACACTGAAAGAACTATTTAACAGACAATAAAAGGGGGGCAGATAAAAGATGTGATACACCCTATTTTCTGAAATGAATAGGTTTTTTTTTTTTGCTCTTTTGAAAATGTAAAAAGATGGCTACCACCTCACCACCTAAGTCCTTCTATTATGTACCCGACATGTAGGGTGGAAGTAAAAATCAGGTAGTACTTATTTATGTTTTTCATTTAGAAGTTGCCATTTTTTTGGCGGGGCGTGGTGGCTCACGTCTGTAATCCCAGCACTTTGGGAGCCTGCAAGGTGGGCGGATCACCTGAGGTCAGGAGAACAAGACCAGCCTGGCCAACAGAGCAAAACCCTGTCTCTACTAAAAAATACAAACATTAGCTGGGCATAGTGATGGGGACCTGTAATTCCAGCTACTTAAGGCAGAAGAATCACTTGAACCCAGGAGGCAGAGGTTGCAGTGAGCTGAGATCGCACTACTGCATTCCAGCCTGGGCGACAAGAGCGAAACTCCACCTCAAAAAAAAAAAAAAAAAAAAAGAAGTTGCCCATTTTTCAAAGAAGATAATTATACTAGTTATCTTTTGTTCTGGCTTTATAATTTCAAGTGTTTTTTTGGTTGCAATTTCTGGACACTGCTGGATGAGACAACAACTTACATCTCTGGGGCCCAAATTAAGTGTGGCCCATCCCATAACCATTGTGTTAGATGCTGAATGAAAAAAAGAGCCAGGACATATTTCTTGTTAAAGGAAAGGGCATTCTGTAATAGTGACATCATTGTCTTAGTGGTGTAACATTAAAAACATGATCCTTTGCAAAACTGTAGGTAGGAGGGATGTGGTCATGCTTTGAGAGGCAGCATTTCAAAACAAACTCTAATTTCTTTAGATTTTCAAGTGTGCAGAGAGACCTAAGGGTTTTCACTGCATACCTTTGCCTGTAAAGAAACTGGTCTTTGAGGTGGTACTTAAAGCCAAATCGGTTAGTTCATGAAATAAGTAAATCCCACCTATGAAATCACAGTCCTAAATTTCCATAAGCAAGTAAGTTAACAATAAACACAGATGGTCCTTTCTTTAGGGATATAGTAAGACAGGAAAGTGAATAAAAATATTACTTGG